TATATATTTAAAACAAAGAGTGGCCTACCTTATAAAAATGTTTTAAAAAAAGCAAAACCAAGTGAGACAGAACTGAGGATGCATATCTTTTTTATTTTATATTACTCATTCTCCTTCATAAAATAAAAGAAAAATGGAAGAAAATGAAGTTTATCATGATCTGAAAATCTTACAGCATTGAATCAAACAAGAGATGGTCAACAAGTCCAATGGTGCCACTTCATGTCAAAATAAGAAAAATATAAATAATATAGTGAGATTTTTATAAATACAATTCAGTTCATAGAGCTAAGCTTTATTTTGAAATCATGTCCTTTGTATAGTATAGTATTAAAACATCCTTTTATGAAACACTGGTATATTTATGTGTTTGTCTATGACTGAGCTCCCACTTAGTAATATAAGTTGGCAATTTATATCTTTTTAACCAGTTTTGAAATGTGACTGGTCTGTAAAGTCCACACATTTAAAAAACTCAATCTAAGCACATATCCTATTCTCTTATGCTTAGTGACCAGTCACTAAGTCCCGTCAATTCTTTAAGTAATGTCTTGTCAAATACAAATTTTACTTTTTTTCATTATGTAAAACCATCACTCTTCTAAGCCCTGGCTGACTTATGACTTTAACTGTACTCAGAATCTCCTTATCCTTTACATTATTGAAAAAACATTTTACAAAAAAAGAAAAAAGAAAAAACATTTTACAGCACACCATCTTTCAATTCTTACAAAGTTTAAATTCTTTAGGCCTTACTTAATAAACTGCATAATCTGAAACAACCACCTCTCCCTTCTTAGCTTACTCTTGTTCCCTTAATTACATGTATGATCCAACACAGGTATATAAATAAATGTTTTAGTCTTGTTCCTTAATATGTGCTCAATTTTAATTTTTCTTCAGATAGGGGGTTGATGGCAATCCCTACCTTGGATGCTTGAACGTTGCCTTTTCTTTGTTGATTTTTGTGACATCTTTCACGTTAACCTATGTTTAAAACATACAAAATAAAACTACATTGGTGACATAAATATTTATCATTCTAATATCAGATATTTGCAATTGCTTGTTCTGTCATCATCTAAAATGCACTAACACTTCATTCATTAATGAACCTTCCCTTTGAAAAGCAGTGAATCTGCGGGACTTCCCATATTTTGTCAATGTTTGGAAATACATTTAAAAAAAGAAATTTGCAAAATTCTTTATATCCCCACACTTAATAACAAACCTGGGAGTCCATTTACCACTGCTTCCTCTTTTATTTTTTTTAGTAAACCAGTCAGTAGCCCCATTGTAAGTAATGTCCGTCAAACATAGATTTTCCTTTCTTATTCTGCAAAACAGCACCCTTTTCTAAGTCCTGGATAACTTACTTTTCTAACTGTACTCAGAAGATCTACCTTTAAATGACTTATAAAACTGTTCCATAGAACACTATCCTTCAATATGTACAGAATTAAGTTCAAACTAGGTAGGTCTATATTTAAAACATTTTATATCTGAAACAATCTTCTCCATCCTTAGCTTGTCCACTAATTTTTTTTTTTTTGTTCCAGACTTAATTTTAAACTCATTTCTCAGGATAGGTCAAAACACTGTG